CATCTTCAGTTGAAAGAGAGCTTCCTTCGTCACTGTCTGATATGAACAGATCAGCAGACTCCTGAAATAGAAATTGTAATTATAAACCAAATGAAAATATGGAGATGCTAATAATAGTTCACATAGATACAAAAATTTAAAAGTACAAACCACATCATCGTCCCCTGTATCACGACTTGCATCAGTAGGACTTGTTGCTGCTGTCAACAATTTCTCAGATGGTGAACTATCAACATTGTTCTGTGCAGCATGATCCTAAAAAGCAAATACCTTACCGTTTAAAAGATAGAAGAATGGGAGGAAACTTCGTTTATGACTTGCTTTCTCTTACCTTGTGGGAATCCTTTAATTTGCGAGGGATTGATACATGTGTAAGCAGATTAGACGATAACTTCTGCATTGCGTTCTGTGACTCATCCACAAAGACGGAACAGCCACTCCCAGCAGATTGAGACTGTTCAGCATTATTCTGTGCACGCTTAGTTGTCTCACAACCATCATCATAGCCAGGCTCAGAATTAATAGGGGATGAACATGTAGTATTAACATTCTAAAAAAAATATATCTTTTGTTAAAAAGAGAGAATGTGAGGGGTTGCATAATTATTTGACTGTTCTATAGACTTTGACAGAAATATTATGGTCTACAATAACCTGTTCCTTGCCGGCTTCAAATTCCTCAGAGTCAGTACTAGATTCACATGAAGTATCTTCGTCTTTTCTTATCTTCCGATGTCGATGTCTAGTAGCCTTACTTCGTCCAGTGTAGTATCTCTTCATTATTATTGGAAAATTTCATTTTTCTACAATTTTCAACTACAAATGTTAAACTGTAAACATGGCTTTAGGCTAAGGGTAACATCTGAATAACAGACAACAGTTGAAAGTCGCGAACGTTCTGGAACCCGTGCGGCCCCTTTCGAGATGGCAGTGTGCTACGAGTTGTAGTTGGCGGTTGGCGGTTGGTGGTTTCAAACTCATCTCTTCTTGTTCTGGCCTGTCGTGACCTGTCGCCATGGCGCAGAAAACTGAATATTATGCCTTAGTAATTGATTTAAGTAATACTAAACTAGCGAAAATAGTACCGAGTAAAGAACTGTATGTGCTTACACCCGAGGATGAGGCTAAACCGTTTCGCCCAGCAAACGAGAAGAAATTCAAACCCAAGGAGGAATATGGACGGATTCGTGAGATTAATGGCGTGAAGAAAATGGTTCGCCATACAATCCTTCGACTAGATGGTAAGTTAACATCAAATTATCTCATGAGAATACGTTGAAGACCAGTTTTAAGAATCATTACATGATAATGGGGTTATGTTCATTTTCGATTTGCACATTAGCTGCTAGGGGCCAAACTCATCTCATGTTGAGCACATTTATAGTGCTAGGAATAATTTTCAGTTAAGATATTTGTATTCTGTATCATAAATCTGCTCTCCTTTAGTAAACTTTTTCAATGTTTTATTCAACTATACTGCCTCAATCAGAAGTCTCGAATTCTGTGGGTTGAGATAAATAATAACTGCCACTAACTAAACCTTATTCTTGTTCAACAGCTGATAAGAATAAATTGGAGGAATATTATAAGGACATAGGCAAACGCTTGCACATTGCGCCACGGAGAAGTGTTAGTGCCGTGGTGGAACCACTGTCAGAGTACTCAATCATCAAGAAGAAACTCAAACCAATTGTAAGTTTGTACAGTAATTGTGATAACAGAGAAGTTCTCTATGCAATTGCTATGACGTACACTTTGTTCACAGAATGACACAGCTCCTGTTCAAAAGGCCAAAAACGCAGCAGGACTTAAAGTGCTGAAGAAATTTAAAGCTCAAGTGGGAGAAAATAAACATAAACCAATTATCAAAAGCAGCCCAGTAAAGAAGGTAGAGATCTTGGAGGTATGTATACTAGTCATACTAATTCTGATCATCAAATTCAACCTCCTAACACCTGATGTCCAGACAAAATTTTCTTTTCTAATAATATGTTCTTTTTTCTACAGCCAAAGGAATGGGAGGAAGTCGCTGAATACAATGTTTCTGTTGACAAAGGCCGGACAAATGTTGTAACAGGAGACTCGGAGCAGGTGAACTTACTACCTTCATGTTTTGAAATTTACTGAAGCATTGCTGATTTGCCGATTCACTAACTTCTGCATTTACACTGTTTCCTGTGCAGTCATTGCAAAATCTCTTGGACGACAAGGTCTTAAATGGTGAAGAAAGTTTCTCCACTGGTGTCACATCGGAAGAGAAGACTGGTGAAGATGAATCTCCCCCACCCCCACTAAACAGGGACATCCAGGAAGACAATAAGCTTTTAGATTCTGAAAATTCAGGTCCCAGTGCTAGTACGTCACGTGACCAGGCATGCCAGACAAATGTAAGGATCCTCCCTATTATCTTTGGTCGTTAATGTATCCAATATGATGCTAATTTGAATTAATCTCTCCTTTTCCTGTGCAGCTATTATGGGAGCCAGAAGTGGTCCAGGAACTGCAAGATGCCTATAAGAGAATCATAATACTGGAGAGAGAGAAAAACCAGAAGACCGACAAGCAGCTTGGCAGCATTAATGATAAACTTGCTTCTATGCAAAAAACTCTGGATGATCAAACCAAGCTGCTAGTGGACGGGCAATCAAGTAAATGTAAGGTTCAGCACACTGTCTGTTTTTACTATTTATTTTCATCCATTAATGAGGCCCCTTTTGTTTTGTTGTAGCCAAAGAAGAAACATGTCAATCAAAAAAAAGAGTGAAAAGCCGTCTCTCAGTATTGACCAGTAATTTGGTTGATGCTGAGGGTGTGGATGAAGGGAAGGTGGGTGTGATCCAATGTTTTGTTCTCTGTCTTCGTCATACCTTTTCAGAGATAAGTGGAGCCTACTTACTAATCTTTTTCTAACTACAGATCAAGGTTGGTGTAAACCGCTACATCACCAGATCGAAACTCTTCACCATTGAAAAGGAGAGCACATACCTGACTGCAAGGGTGACTGCCTTGCTTTTGGCGTTTTATGGCAAGGATGTTGCCAAATATTCTCTAAGTGGCACAACCCGCAAAGGCCATGGGAAGGGGAGTCGGGGGCCGAATGCCAACAAAATCAGCCAAGAAGAGATTTCATCAATGATCAGTAAGCATTTGCACATTGATATCAATACCCTGCAAATTACATTGCTTTTAAATGTATCTTTATCAAGGAGTGTTTGCTTCTGTCTCTATAATAGCAATCCTGGAGCACTTTAAATGGACCTACCTCACTGACTTGGATGAATCCAGCATCAGAAACAAAATAACAAAATGCACTAGCTTCATCAGGACTGGAAAAACAGCCAATGGTGGTGATGGTGGTGAGAAGGCCACACTTAAACAGCACAATGTGGAAGAAGAGAACCAGAACCCCACGAAAAAAAGAAAAGCCGAAGGCTCAGACTCAGATTCTAGCTCTGAGAATGAATCCAGTGATGAAAATTGTGGGAGCAACGTGTCAAGTGAGGAAAATGAGCTTGAACAATCCATTAACCTGTCTTAAGTATGTGTTAACTGCTTTTCAAATGTAACATCATAACTGATTCTGTGATTTACTCTGTATTGTATCTGTTCCGATATATGCGTTAATCATTCTTTACCTGTTGTATCACCAATATTAATCTAATTAGTTGACACTGTGATTTATAGTTTACATTCTATGTGTTTTGGTACCCAAGTTAATCATTCGATACCTGTTGTTTTACCAATATTAATCTTATTAGTTGACAACTGTGATTTAGTTTGTTTACATTCTAAGAGTTTTGGTACCCAAGTTAATCATTCGTTACCTGTTTTACCAATATTAATCTTATTAGTTGACAACTGTGATTTAGTTTACATTCTATGTGTTTTGGTACACAAATGAATCATTCATTACCAATATGTCTTGTGTTTGCAAGATACGTCTTCTTGGTTGACCCTGTGATTTAATTTGCATTATGAGTGCTGTGGTGCACACCTCAATCATTCCTTACAAGCACATGTTGTCTCCACAACATTAGTCTTACTACTTGTAATGTGATTTACTTTGTAGTTCTTATAAATAGTTGTTTAATTGCCAAGATTAGTTTCATTAGTTGACACTGCTTTAATTTGTATTCTATGCATTATGGTGCACACGTTAATCATTCCCTACAAGTACTGTCTTCACAACATGAGTCTTAGTACTTTACTTTCTTTCTAATGTTCTGTTAAAAACATTTATATCTAAGAGTAGTACTTGTACTCTTTTGAATCTCCTTTTATTGTGTGATTTTATTTGTTGCACTTGTATTTCTCGTTTTATTGTGCTAAAAGTTCCTATACAGAGTTGCATTTAATTTGATTTTACTTTCATTTCTTGTATTCCTGGTACGAATATTGTTTAAGAATTTCATTACATTGTGGTTTTCATACATTTCAGGGTGAGGGGTAGAGCGGCCGGGGGGGGGGGGGGGCAAGGATGTCCTAGGCACAAGGAAAAGATAGTACACCTTGTGTCCCCACGGACAAGGGAGGGAGAGCCGGAGTAGCATCATCGTGGACAATACAGGGAGGTAAAATGGTATCATCAGGGACAGGAAAGGACACGACGTGGATTCCTTAGGGACGATCTGGGGACAAGGAGGGATATGAAGAGGTATCCTCAGGAATACGGAGGAGACGCAAAAGGCATCCTTAGGGACGATACAGGGACAAGGAAGGATACGAAACGGTGTCCACAAGGACGATACAGGGACAAGGAAGGATACGAAACGGTGTCCACAAAGACGATCGAGGGATAAAGAGCGATAACAAGGGATCGCTCATGGATCAGTGAATGCTATCCATTACGTATTCTTACTCGTCCCTATGACATCCGCAGAACGTCTACTTTGAGACAAATGGGATAGCGTCTCCCTAGCGTATCCGTTAGTTATCCCTGGAGGATCTTCTTATCCCTGCATGTCCCCCAGCTCCATCAGGGTAATCTTCATCTTCAATACATTAGATGGTTGTAGCATAGAGAGTGGAGTTCTGGGTCTTCGTCCCAGGAACAATTCAGCAGGAGACAGTTTCGTCACTGTATGGGGTGTGTTTCTATATGTAAATAGAAATGCATCTATCTTATGACTGAGAGTTCGATGCTTGGTTTTCTCGTCTAGAAGTTGCTTGAGCAGAGATCTCTTGACCGTTTTTACTTCGTTTTCAGCTGCACCATTGCTTTGAGGATGGTACGTTGGCGAGAACGTTTGTACCACTCCATTAGCCTGCAGGAACTCGGACATAGCTTGTGACGCAAAAGGTTGCCCATTGTCACTCACTATCTCTTCTGGTAGGCCATAAGCAGCAAACAAAGACCTGAGCACTTCTATTACTGCCACACAATCAGTTTTTGGCATAATGTGCACCGAAGGCCATTTTGAATGAGCATCTAAGATCATCAACAATTCAGAACCCTGGAAATGGCCAAAGTCCATATGCAATCTCTGCCAGCGCCTAGTCGGCCATGACCAAGGCACATAGCTATCATGAGGGATTGAAGACTGGAGTGCCTGGCACACGCCACAATCCTTCACTAAATCTTCTATTTGTTGATCCATGTTGGGCCACCACACGTAACTTCTCGCAAGACTCTTCATTCTGCTGCCTCCTGGGTGTGTCTCGTGTAACAGATCCATGCATGACTTTCTTCAAGACAGGATCACTAGAAGTATTTTCTGCAATGTCCACAGCAGACATTAATTCACCTGGTAAATTTCACTTTCCACCTCCTCAGAATGTTGTGATGGAAATCTGCTAAGGAAATCTGCATGAGGAATTTGTTCACTCTTCCTGTGAACAATGGTATACTGATGTGCTGACAGCAACAATTGCCAGCGTTGAAGCCGGGCCGCCGCCAGTGGCCGTTGGTGACTCTTGTCACTGAAGATTGCCACAAGTGGTTTGTTGTCAGACACAATTTCAAATTTTCTTCCAGTTAAATATTTGTCAAAATGCTTGATGCCAAATATTAACGCTGCACCCTCCTTCTCATGTACAGGGTAATTCAATTCTGCTTTTGAGAACATCTTGCTTCCAAAAGCTATTGGCTCTTCTTTTCCATCTAAGGTTACATGACTCAGTACACAACCCGCCCCCACAGGAGAGGCATCCGAAGTCAACCGTAGGGGCCTATCCAGAGAATAAGGCACCAAAACCATAGTAGACAAGAGTTTCAAAGCTTTGTCATAAGCTGCTTGCTCTCTCTTCCCCCAGTAAAACGTAGCTGACTGTTTTAACTGATACAAGGGATGCAATACTGTACTAAGATTTTCACCATACTTGTGAAAAAATGTGATCATACCAATAAAGGAACTCAGCTGCGTATGATCCTGTGGAACTGGCTTCTTTAGAAGTTCATCCATCTTCGCTGGGTCTGGCCTCATGCCAAACTCATCAAGCTGAAAGCCTAAATAAATCACTGAAGTTTGAAGAAACTTTGACTTACTTAGATTCAGCTTTACATGGAATTTTTCCATTCTTGATAGTACAGCATGCAGTACTTGAATACACTCTTCTTTATCTTTCCCCCAAAGCAGAATATCATCCAGATATTTGAAACAATTTTCCACGCCTGCTAAGATGGAGCTGATAATTTCTTGAAAAGCATTCGGAGCAGATGCTATCCCAAATGGCATTCTCAAACACTTGTAAGAGCCAAAAGGAGTACTCAACTTGCAAAGCTCCTGGGAAGCTGGAGATAACTGTAGTTGTAAATAAGCCAATTTCATGTCCAAAATACAGAAATACTTGCCATTTACTGTTGACAGATCATCAATGAGGGGCAGTGCCCTGCCAGTGACCTCCAGGTGAGGGTTAAGGGTCACAGAGAAATCACCACAAATTCTGACTTCTGCTTCCTTTCTTCTGACAGGCACAATGGGTGTGCCCCACGGGCCAGGTTCACATTTCACAATGTACCCAGCTTCTTCCATTGAATCTAACGCCTTCTTGGTTGGTTCACGCAGTGGAATTGAAAGATTCCTGGGGCCCCTGAACACCCCGTACGAAAAAGTTTAGTCCGGCATCAGTCCGTTTTCGGTCCGGAAAGAGTCCGCACCCTGTGGACTAGTCCGCGTTCGATCCGTCGTGCACCGGACTAGTCCGCTTTTAGTACCCCCGGGCGTGCAGACTAGTCCGCTTTGAGGTCGCAGCGGCCAAGTGCGATGCCGGACCAGTACGCAGACAGTCCGTCCTC